ACAGCAGTGTCACAGATATTTAACACTTTTGCCAAGTGATGTGGAATCATTGTCCTGAGCAGATTTTTTGCTTTATTTTCACTTAAATTTTGAGGAGGTTATAGAGGTGCCAAGCACACAATTCAAAAGGGAAAAAAAAAAGAGTGTCAGGAATGCCGAGAAGTTTTCTAGGACTGCTATTAACAAGTTACCAGAGAAGCTCAAAACAACACAAATTTATTTTTTAACATTGCTAGTGGTCATTAGTCCAGACTGAGTCTCATGGGGCAAAAATTAAGATGCCAGTGGCTCTGGTACCTTCTGCAGATTCTAGGGGGGACTTCAGATTCCACAGAGGGCAGTCTCCAATCCCCAAGGCTATCTACGAGTCAAATTACCCTGATCTCTGTGACATCTTTGGCTCTGATTCTGATTTCTATCTCTGCTCCCACTGTCTTTTAAAAAGTGGCTTTATTGACAGGCCAGCATTGTGCAGGGGTGGGTTAAGCTATTTCTGGAACACCAGCATCCCATATGAGCACTGGTTGGAGTCCCAGTTGCTCTGCTTCCAATCCAGCTCCCTATTTCATGCCTGGGAGGACAGTGGGTGGTAGCCCAAGTACTTGGGCTCCTGCACCCTGTGTGGGAGACCCGGATAGAGTTCCAGGATCCTGTGTTTGGTCTGACCCAGCTGTTGAAACCATTTGGGGATGAACCAGAGGATGAAAGACTGCTTGATCTTCATCTCTCTGTGTCACTCTGCCTTTCAAATAAAATAATAAATAACTTAATAAATAAAACAGCTTTATTGAGACATAAGTCATATACCATAAAATTTACCCATGTTAGTGTACAATTCAGTGATTTCTAGTATAGGTGCTCCTCTACTTATAACAGAATTACAACCAATAAAGCCGTTATAAGCTGAAATATCATGTCAGAAATGCATTTCATGTGCCTAACCTAGCAAATATCCAGCTTAACAACACGGCACACTGTAGAGTGTCAGTTGTTTCTCCTGGTGATTGTCTGGCTCACTGCAAGTTGTGGCTGTCAGCCACCGCCCCACATCTCACGGCAGAATTGTACCATGGACCAGTAGCCTGGGAAAAGATCGACTTTCCAAGTGTGTTTTTTACTTAATATGCATCAGCTTTGTACCATCCTAAGTTGAACCACTGTAACTTGAACCATCATGAGTCAGGGACTGTCTATATTCATAGAATTTTTCATTTATCAACACTCAAATTTAGGAAATTATACTCATTCCCAAAAGAAACTCCATACACCAAAAATATCACCTTCTCCGGGCTTTCCATCATTCTCCTCCCTAGGCCACCACTAACCTATTTTCTGTCTCTACTAATTTGCCTACTCTGGATGTTTCCTATCAACAGAATCATCCAACATGCGGTATTTTGTTATGATCTTGCACTCTGCATAAATTTCCAAGGTTCATTCATGTTGTAGCATGGGATCAGTACTTCATTTCCTTTTACTGTCAAATAATACTTTATCATATTCCTCCTCTATCTTTAAGATCCTTCTGATTACATTGGGCCCTCCTAGTCTTTGATAATCTTCTGATTTGAAGGGTCTAACAGCCTTAATGCCACTTGTAATCTCAATTCCCCTTTGCCATGTAACCCACCATATTCACAGCTGGAGAATTAGGATCAGCATGTCTTTGGTAGGCCATTATTCTCTCCACAACAGTGCAAACTTCAGTGAGTAGCATTTAAAGAAGAACACAAGCAACTCTCTTGCCAGAGAGTTATATTATTCAATACTCTTACCAGTGTCTTTTATATCTTTATGAGACAGCCTCTCTCTCTCTCAATTTTATATATATATAATATAATTTCTTCAATTACCAATAGTAGCCTGTCTACCATATTATATACCATATATGCTATCTTACACCTTGTTGGTTCATTTTTTTATAATTTGCAAATCCATCTTGAAGATTGTGCCATATTCCATAGATGCTGTACCAAATTACCAGAAACAGGTGTCTTAAAGCAACAGACATATGTTATCTCGTGGGACTGGAGGGCAGAAGTCCAAAGTGGCAGCGTCAGCAAGGCCAGCTCCTCCTGAGGGTCTGCAGGAGAGTGGCTCCAGGCGTTTCTTGGCCGTGACAGTATCACTCCAGTCTTGGGGTCTGTCTTCCCCGGGTGTTCCCCTGAGTACTTGTACCTTCCTGTCCAGCTCTTACAAGGGTACTTGTCATTGGTTCAGGGCCTACTCAGATGATGTAGGATATTCTCAGTTCAAGGTCCTCAGCTTAATTACATCCACTCAAAGCCCATTTTCAAACAAGTCCCATTCACAGCACATGAGCATATCTTTTGGGAGGCCTCAGTTCAACCCATATCAATACATGTACCATATCCTTAAGCATCTGCATGGGGCTACATATATTTCATAGTAAGAAGCCTTATACTTCAACACATATCCTATTGATGGTTATTTGATTTGTTCTATTTATGACATTTCTTTACAACTGTTGTCAAAATATTCTGAAATAGCTTACAAATGGTAACAAAGATATAAAATTTAAGGAAAAGTGTGAAGCAGGGGCTCTTTAGACCGGCAAGTGGGCAGAATCACACAGAGGAGCCGGCGGGAGGCTCTCAAGGGTGCTCCCTGCTGTCGAGCTGGAGATTTCTTCGCAGTTGAAGAGGTGCTGTGTCTGGAAACCTTTCAGTGAGGTTCTGTTCAGTCTGGGGGGAGCCTGGGGTCACTCTGTGCTCAGAGAATGGCATGGGCCTTTGTCGGCTCTTTCCCATCACTCCTGACCCATCAAGGGCCATGGGCTTGCTGCAGTGATGAGGTAATGTTGACAAACTGCTTGAGGGTCCTCGGAGAAAGGTGTGCAGGCAGCCAGGCGGCAGCAGCTCCTTTGTGGGAAGAGCAAATGGCCTGGACGTGTTGACTGTGTAATCCAGTGCTGGCCAAAATGCCAGATGACCTGCCCAGATACCACACAATCTGCCACTGGAGTAGAAGGCAGCCCTATGGAAGGTGGCATCTGATGAGATCACTGTCACAAGTGATTTGTGCTATATTTGAGGCCCATGTCTTTCTTCCTTGACAAATGGGAATTTTACATTCAAATGATTTGTACTTTGGCTCATAGACTCACTTCCCTTTCCCCTTTAGCATGTTTGCATGCCTATACACACACACACACACACACACACACACCTTCAAAAGAAATCAAGGCAGGTAAACGTGGGCTATTGTGTTTCTTAGGTAAGCTTTTTAGATAAAAACTCGAGGTGAGACTCAGCTTGCTTACAGTGGCTTCCAGCCCAGAAGCGGTTTGCACAGATTCTATTACACAAAGGCATGATTCAGGTATGGCTCCCAAACAAGGGCATATTGTGTCGCCGTGGCCTTGTGGGGAGTCCTGTTCATGGTTTACGCGTTATTGTGTCTTCCTATCAAAACCTACACCTTCCACTCAGCAGGAGCAACCCGAGGCTCTCTCTTGGTCATCTGTGCAGACTGACCAACTCTCAAAAAGACAAAACCTAGGGGTGAAGGCTCTCCCTTCCCACACCCCCCACCTGCCCTCATTCTGCCATTACCTGTCCCCTCCCCCTGGAGCCAGGCTAGCCTCTCATGTGACTCCAAGCCTCCAGGGCCCTCCCTCAGGTTCAAGGTTAGCAGAGCATCACGAGGCCAGAGAGGCGGTGAGTGGGCACTGCAAAGCTGGCAGCACAGAGCAGCACTATGTCACACCCCAAGGAAGTAGCTGCTACAGTGGCCACCAGGCATGACTTTGTAGCTCTCTGAGAGCTAGGCTGGATTATCATGTGTTCTCTATAGATTGCCCAATAAGGCAATCGGATAAGACAGTAACAGTGTCTGATTCTTCATGCTGCCCTCAGGAAGATACAAGCACTCTGCCTTCCTTAACACAGAGGGAGGAGAAAGCCCCTCACTCCCTTGCTGTATTAGGAAGCTCTCACAGGCGTGATACTCCAGGAACTCAAGTTGGCATTCGATGAGGATTCACTCATGTGTCTGGCCCAAGGGCAAGAGCTTATGGGAGTTATTCCAATAAGCCTTCACAAGAGTCCTGTGAGGCAGGCACCATTATTGACTCTGTCCATGCAGAGGAAGAGGCTGAAAGCATATGGTGACCAAGAAACATGTCCAAGGTCATATCCTAAATAAGGGCAGTTTTCAGAGGTGGTGTTCCTGGGAGGATGTAGCTATAGAAGAGACAGGGCTGGCCCTAGTCTTGTTGGGGATAAACCGACAAGGGCCTGTGGAGGAAGGCAGGCAAAGAGGGGTGTGAAATGTTGAGGGGGCTACATTTTATTGCATCATAATATAAAGATGCACAGCACCTCATTGCAGGCTCCATTCCCATGAGGCTGAACAGCTAAGCAAGTCTTGCCAGAAGTAGAGACGGCCACTGATCTTCTCTTTGCCAATGGGCCTTGGATACTGACTTTTTCCTTTACCAAGTCTTCTCCAAGAATGTAGATAAATAAGGGAAAGACAGTCCAACTGCTGTGTCAATTCTCAGGTGAACCCAAGATTCTCTCTTGGAACCATATGGCCCAGTTCTCTCAGAAGCCAGCAATGACACAAACACCTTCCCCAGTCCTTCATGTGAAAACGTATGGCCCCAGTGAAGACTAATCAATCATTATTTGCACTGGGTCTCCTGTATTTATCTCCTTGGAATTGTCAGCCACTCTTTGTGGCAATAACTGACACCACTAGTAGTCAGCCAGGTGCTTATCTAACCTGCTCTCGGGTCAGAACTAGGGCATTTATGTTATGTATGGAGGAGGCTACACTGTGTGGGCTCAGCAGAGGGGGCAAAATCCTCCACCCATGAAGATTTCACTGTTTCTTAGTATCTCTAAAGCTGCTAGGATTTCACCATTAGATTCAATGCTTGGGTTAAACAATTTCCTCTTTAAGTTTTTTTTTTTTTTTATTGGTTAAGACTCAGTTTGGTTACATGGAACAGAAACCCAAATTTGATGGCCTAGCCAAGTTATTATTTTTTAATGTAATAATAAGTCTAGTTATAACCAGTACAGAATAGTGCACCAGCTTGAGTAAATCATCAAGAATCTATGCCTCTTCCAGCCCCTTCCTCAAGTATATTTTGTTTCCTGGTTGTCACAGCTGCTCCTCTGCTACCTATCACATTTGCATTCCAGGTGAGAGTCTGTTAATACTGGGAAACTGATTTCCTTCCCAAGTCTTCTGTTCTACCTCGTATCTAAGGGTCAGTAACTTCTTTGAGTGTGTGTGGGGGAGGGGGGCTCCCACCCTCTAGTTTACTCCCCAAATGTCAGCAGTGGCTAGGACTGAGTCAGCCCCAAAGGCAGGAGCTGGAAATTCAAGTCAGTGTCCCACGTGAATGGCAGCGACAAAACTACTTGAGCCATTACCGCTGCTCCCAAGGTTTGCATTAGCGGGAAACTGGAGTAAGGAACTGGAGCTGGGGCTTGAACAAAGCACTCTGACGTGAATATGGGAGTCTCAGCAGCCGGGCTGCATACCTGCTCCAAGGGTCAGTATTTTTAACTGAGGTTGATGCTCCCCTAGACAAAGTTGTGGTTTCTGTTAGTGAGGAAAACGGGGGGATTTTCTCAGAAGTAGGAAATTGGCAGTGTCTGCCCCACCATCTTTGGAACATGACTATGGTTTGAAAGTACTGATATTGTGATTAACGGATAAAATAAACTGGGAGGGAGTAGGCAGACACTGTTTTCTCCCATGAAGGAACCAAGGGAAACACAGGGACAACTCTGAGAGTGAAGATTGTCGAAAGGATGAAGGCTAAGAATAGAGGACCAAAACTTTCCTCCTCTTCACACATTTGCTCAGGGTTGGACATGGTTATGCTTCCTCTAATCCAGGATTCGAATCCTTGGCATTCTTGGCATTTGGGGCTGGGTGATTTTTGATGTTGGTGCTGTCCTGCACATTGTAGGTATTTATTCTTTCCTTGGGCGACTAGATCCCTGAAACACTGTCTCCAACCCTGCAGTTATGATAACCAAAGCCTCAGCCAGGCATTGCCAAAGCGCTCCAATTTGAGAACCATAACTCTCATCTATAGATATTCTATAGAACAAGACTCCCGGCAGAGCTGCCATTCCTTCCTGTTTTTGAACTGAGTGGTGTGGGCTCCACTTGTTTTACCATCAGGGGACAGCACCTGCAGTGCTTCCCAGCAAAGTCTGTCCTGTGCATCTGTACAGCAACTGGACTAGGCTCCTAATGGGATGACCAGGAAGGAGCCTTCTCAGTCCCTTGTGTTTGAAGGCCAACATCCCAAGGGCAGAATTCATGGTAGCCAGAGCAGGCTAGTTCCAATGTAGGATCTCCAGAATGGGCAAACACAAATATTCACACAGGATGCCAGTTGGATTAGAATCTCAGAAAAGCCACAAATAACTTCTCAATGTAAGTATGTCCCATGCAACCCTCAACAGGAGCAGTATGTCCATATTTTCCATATGGATAGTTTCTGCCATCCCCTTTGACTGCCAGCTTTCATGACAGTTCACACAGTCCAGCAAATACTTCCTGCTCCTCTCCCCAGGTATGCTGACATGGCATCAGTGCCCTTGCCCTGACCTTGAACTCCGGGTGGTGCCAAGCAAAGTCACCAGGCACTCACTCAGGTTGCAACATGCGTTTCTGCACCTTCAGATCTCGAAAGCACAGAGGCCCTTTCATGCTCTTTGGGTAAGTGATCCTTAGTTACAGCAGTTGTGTACTTAAGCGGCTGTATCTTGCTGCCTGTCCTTTGTATCTGGTGACACAGAGGGAGTGTGCCCTGGGCATGGAGCAGGATTGTTAGCAGAGAAAACCCAGATCAGTCCCAGACTCTGCCAAGCCCAGCTGCTGGTAGAACAAGGGCCCTTTCCTTCTTCAGGTGAAAGCACTGAGACACCACTTGGAAACATTGAGAACGTGTTTCTGAAAGTGTGTCCTGGGAGGTTTGGGCTTCGTGGGGTACTGAGAGTAGTCACATCCTGGCAGCCACGTGCGAGGAGGGCGCAGGCTCGCAGAGTCCTGGAGCACACTAGCAAGGAGAAGCCAGAGAAATAGCGCATTAAAGAAGCCTAATGGCTTTTATCTAAGTTGGGGTTTCCAGGCTTACCTGAGTGAGAGTCTTTGCTGGGCTGCTAACTTTTACCAGAATACACTCAGGTGTTTGCTCAAGAGGCAGGGGACCTACCGCCTAGCAGACGCTAGACAAATATTTACTGTGCATATATGCGCTGAGGCAAGCACTTGGGATAAAAAGGTTTTGCTTGTTCCTTTGTGATTCTCTTTTGTTTTCAAAACTTTTTCCATGTATTTATTGAAAGGCAGAGAGACAGAGAAAGATAGGGAAAAGGAAGGAGAGACAGAGACAGAGGTATTTCATTTGCTGGTTCTCTCCCCAAATGCTTGCAACAGCCCGGGCTTAGCCAGGAGCCTGGAACACAATCCACGTTCCCACATGGGTGGTGGAGACCCAAGTACTGGAGGCACCACCGCTGCTCACTGGGGTGTATCTCATCAGGAAGTTGATAGAAAGCAGAGCCAGGATTTGATCCCCGACACTCCGCTATGCAACACAGGCAGCACAAAGTGACGTCTTAACTGCTGCACCAAAAGCCTGCCCCAACGCTGTGATTCTAAAAGCAGCTGGAAACATGTAATTAACTGTAACTGTTTGCTCAGTGCATGACTCTGCCAGGAAAAGCTGCATGGGGGCAAGGATGATGTCTTTTATCCACTATTTTATGACCAGCTCCAAACAGCTCTTGCCCCATCGTAGATCTAAGTGGCCATCAAAGAAGGAGGTACTTTTCTCTAAAGGGAGGAGAGAACATCCTCTTGCTTATGGCCTTGTCTAAATACTGACAGAGCTTGTGGACCCAAAAGGCTTCCATAGCCTAGGCAGTTCATGTCAAGAGCCTCAGGTGGTCACTGACATCATACATAAGAGTGTTAATTGTTCAATTAACAACAGGAGTCACTGTGCACTAACTCCCCATGCAGGACCTCTGTCCTCAATGAGTTGTATTATGAGAGCTAACTGTAAAACCAGTTCTCAAAGTTTTTTTTTTTCTGTGTGTGTGCAAACTGTTGAACTCTTTACTTAGTATAGAGTTGGTCTTCTGTGTACAAAATTAATTGAAAATGAATCTCAATGGAGAATGGGACTGGCAAGGGGAGAGGGAGGAGGAACGTGGGAGTGCCGGTGGAGGGTGGGAATGGTGGGAAGAATAACTATATTCCTAAAGTTGTACTTACAAAATTTGTATTCCTTAAAAAATAAATTAAAAAAAAGAAACACAAGTGGAAAATATAAAAAAGCACATTAATTTAATACATAGAGAGCAACAATATGCAGTCTTTTTCCGATGAGAACTTCTGGTCTACTACTGTGGAAGGGAGACTTGTGAGAGGAAATTTAGAAAACAGGTGTCTGGTCCCTGCCCTTGGAAATGATGAAAGATGGAGCGATCAGCTCTCCAGGCTAACTTCAGGGTGGAGATGGTGCCCTGAACTGTCAGGAAATGCACACACCACTCTTAGTTTTCAACTCTTTTCTTGAGCTCTCTATTTTGTCCATACAGGCCAGCCTTGATTATGCCCCAAAAGGCCTCAGGAGTAGAGCCGCTGGCCCTGCAAGCTGGGTTTCAGGAGAGGACAACAGCTTTCCTTCAAAGGGCAAGATTGAAGCCGATTTCCAACAGTAACAGAAACTCCTTGAGCACGTTGATGTGGTGCAGGTAAAGTAGGCAGCTCCCTCGTTTCCAGAAGGCTCCTACCTTCCCCTCCTGGGCCACGGCCTGTGCTCCAGCAAGCAGCTTCCCTTCTGCACCTATAAACTCCTTATCTCCGTCCCCTCCTTGAACGCCTTACTCTTCACACCTTCTCCTCTAAGGAGTGCTCGAAATGATTTCCAGAGTGTACTTCAGTTCTCGGCTTCTCTTAGGACAGAACAAACACCTGTTAGCACCTAAGGGAGGGTTTGACTTTCCCTTAGTCTCACCTCCCATCACTGCCCCTCCCGTCCACTGGAGACAGATCACCTACCTAAGGAAGCCTTCCAAACCTCACGCCCATGCACGCGTGCACACACACACTCACACAGGGCCATGGAACTTTTGCTTACATGGGGTTACACTAAAAGTTGACCACTCAAGTTCTCCACAATGCTTTGAACATAGAAGCTAAGTCTAGCTAGAATACATCTTACTTGAATCATCTTGGATATACAGGAATTTGAATTCATTTGGCATATCAGAATCTGGTTTGTTATATAAGTAGGACCAAATACTTTTCAGGGCTTCTGGGTGTTTTCTAACACTGAATTGTAGAGGAGACGCATAACTTCTTTGTTTATTAATATGTGTATGCCTTTTTGCGGGTTCTTCTTCATCAATTTGCTGAAACATGATGAATTGTTACCTTAATTTGACTTCTGAGCCCTTGTGTCCACAATACCTCCTGTCTTTGGAAAGGGCTAATTCTTGTTATTTATTTATTTATAATGATCCCTTTCTTGCACAATTACAAAAAAAAATAGAAAAACAGATTTGAAGCAATTGCTAAAAGCCGATATTCATAAAATTCCAAGGCATAGCTGTTTAGCAGTAGCTTTATAGTCTAGTTACAGAATTCTAAGCAGACATTTGATAGAATCTAAAAGATTTTTTTAGTTTAGCATATTTAGTTATTTAGTCCCTGCAACTGCCCTTGTTCGCTTAGATATGAAAATAACCCTGGCTGTTTTATGTGGGTCCTTCTCCTTCTGTTTCATGTCAATGCCTTCTCAACCATAAGGCCTTTTCTGGGCACTGTCTCTGGCAAGGCTACCCTACACTATGGTCAGCTGAGATGCTGCTCCACCCAGTTCCCATGAATTCTGTGCTATGGCCATCATAGCACCTGTTGCACAATCAGGACACCATTTGCCTGTCTCCCATGGTGACTGGTGGCTTCCTCTAGACAGAGTGCATTTTAGGGGGAATGGTTGAGGAGGTCTCTTTGCGGTTATCTTGGTTAAGGCCTGTGCTGGCCACCAGCTCTCCTGGGCCCTACCACAGTGGGCAAAGGCCAGCCTAGGCATTGACCTCCAAACTCTTCTCTCCTGGAAAACTGGGAGAGATCCAGTCTCAGGGAAATCTAGTGGCCATTCTAAGGTAATGGTATCTGTGAAGTCTTTAAGTCTTTCTGTAGTGTGCGGAAAATATTAAAATGGGGGAAACAATCTTCTACCACTTTTCTATTTTAAATGTCATTGATTCTGCTTTTATATTATCTCCTGCCACCTTTTTTGCTTTTTCCTAGTCAATTCCTAAGGTGGGCCCTTTGGTTAACAATTTGTTAACTTGATTTCTTTTTTTTTAAGATTTATTTATTTATTTATTTATTTGAGAGGTAGAGTTACAGACAGTGAGAGGGAGAGACGGAGAGAAAGGTCTTCCGTCCACTGGTTCACTCCCCAGATGGCCGCAACAGCCGGAGCTGTGCCGATCTGAAGCCAGGAGCCAGGATCTTCTTCCAGGTCTCCCATGTAGGTGCAGGGGCCCAAGGACTTGGGCCATCTTATACTGCTTTCCCAGGCCATAGCAGAGAGCTGGACTGGAAGAGGAACAACTGGGACTGGCACCTGTGCCCATATGGGATGCTGGCACTTCAGGCCAGGGATTTAACCCGCTGCACCACAGCGCCGGCACCAACTTGATTTCTAACATAAGCACTTATACTATAAATTTCCCTCTAAGTACTGCTTTAACCATCTCTCATAAAAGTATAATAGGTTTGATGTTGTTTCATTCTGTTGAGAATATTTTTAATTTCCTTGAGCATTTTTCTTTGAGCCCTGGGTAATTTAAAGATGCATTGCTTAATGTCCAGATGTTTACAGAATTTCCCAGAAATTATTCTGTTATTTATTTCTGGCTTAATTCTGTTACATTCTGAGAATGTAGTTTGTGTGGGTTTCCAGCTGTTTTTTTTTTTACTGTGTTATGGTTTTGTATGGCCCAGAATATGGCCTGTGTGGACTTGAAAAAATGTAGGTTCTGCTGTTGTTGATTATTTCATGTAATTAGGTCAGCTTGGTTGATATTGTTTCTCAGATGCTTGTTCTTATTGATTTTTGGCCTATTTTTGCATGCATTTCTGAGAGAATGAAGAGTGTTGACATCTCCAGGTATAATGGCCAATTTCTCCTTTCATTTCCATCTGTTTCTGATTTAAGAATTTGGGCACTGAGTGTGATAAAATGCAGCATCCTTGCCTTTTTGCATACCTGAGTGCTTCATCACAGTGCAGTGTCCCCCCATCCCACTTGCAATGGGCTGTTATTGTTTGCTGATTCCTCCTACCCCAGGAGGCCACACTCAGTGGTTGTTCACCCCTCTCCCAGACTGCCCTCCCAGGAATGCTGGCTCCTGTCTCTGAGTGCCTTCCAGGGCTGGTGGAGAAGAGCTGTGTGTTCCCTTTAAGTCTGCAGCTCCCAGGATTCTGTACTGTCTCATCCGGCTACACTTGGCCTACCTGTTCGTGATTCATTTCAGCTGAATCCTGCTTACTCTCGGTTGTCCAGCTAGATTATCTCCAGTCAGGAAAGTGCTCACATCCCATCTCTCCTTTTGGTCACCAGTTTTCCTTCGGGCTGGTACTCTGCCCTCAGCTTTCTGAGCAAAAGTTGTAAAAATGTGCTTATATGGCTTTTTGTTGTTTCAAGAGTGAGAATGAAGTTCTTTTCAGCTTTCTATAGCCCATATGTAAAAAGTATCTATTATTTTTATCAAACAGTCCCCTCCTTTCTGAAAGAGGAGCTGGAAATGGTCACCCTAAGAATACCATTCTGAACCCAGCGTACCTAACATAGAGAACCCAACTCCTTGCTCCTAATACTGGAGCCAGAAGCTTCTGAAGGGAGGGAAGGAAGAAGGGATAACATGGCTGAAATTGTAATTCTCTGCTTAGCTCTCTCTTCTCTCTTGGAAGGAGTTTGAATGGGATAGCATCAGTTTCTCCGTTATACTCCAAACACAACAGGTTGCAACTAGGAAAGCTAAATAATGCCTAAATGAAATGAAATGAAAATTGTATTGAAACTTTTAAACAAATTCAAAGGTTTCAGAGATTAATTAGTAGTACACATTTTGTCTTCCTCCCACTCCCGGCACCACCCAGTACAAGTAGAGCCTAAGTCGATTCCCCGTAGGGAGAGGCCTTGAGTCAGGTCATGAGTGGAAGACGGGACGTTGTCCCCTCCTGCCATTCACTTCTATCAGAGAGTAGCATCCACCCTTGGGCCCTGTTTGCATCACAACACACAGCACCAGCTCGCTTTGACCCTGATACCATTTTATAGGCTTAATAATAATAAATCTATGTCCTGAAATAGTTTTGCAGATTACAGTAATCAATCAAAATTCAGGGAGCCAAGACCATTAATGTCATCAGCAGTGATGCAGCGCTCCGGGAATCCATCTAAATCAGCCGTTACGATGGGAAAGACGGCGCGAGAGCCTGCAGATAGGGGGAGTAGACGGGAGCATAAATTGCAATTCTGTTTTTATCAGCCATCAGGGGATGATTTTCTTGGGGAGGCTTTGTCTGTTCCTAGTAGGAAATGAATCTAGGACTTGCTGATTCCTACTCCAAATTATAAATCATGAAGGTTTTGCTGGCCCTGGGACTTCTAGCTCAGAAATGCTGTGTCTAGCGGCCTGCAACCCTACACCCTGGTGGTTTTTCTTGTGAAACTCCCCAGTGACCTAAGTCAAGGGGCTGCACTTTGGCTCCTTTGTAGATGGCCCCAGTGGCTCCCACGCTCCTATCGTGGAGATAAATCCTAAAGGGCTGTTCAGCTCAGCTGAGGACGTGCACCCACGTGGAGGTCCTGGACCGCCCATTCTGACCACTCGTGGATAATCATTTAAAGTCTGAGGACCCGAGCTGGCATTGTAGGGCAGCTTAATGCCACTGCCTGCTGGCGTCCCATGTGAGTGCTGGTTCCAATCTGTCTGCTCCACTTCCCATCCAGCTCCCTGCTGATGCACCTGGGGAATGCAATGGAGGATGGCCCAAGTGCTTGAGTCCCTGCCACCCACCTGGGAGACCCAGATGAAGCTCCTGGCTCTGGCCTGGCCCAGACCCGGCCATCATGGCCATTTGGAAGTGAATCAGTGAATGGATCTCTCCCCGCCCTCTATAACCCTGCCTTTCAAATTAAATAAATCTTTTAAAATAAGCCTGATGACTGAGGTGTGAAGGAGAATGAAAGGCCTTCTGCCATTCGAATCTTCCTATAATTTCTATAAATTCTGACACCTATTTGTGGCAGCACAGTGTAAGGTAGTAAAAGCATCTTGGGTTTTGGAATCAGAACCAAGTCCTGGGCCTTTCTAATTAGTTGTGTGGTGCTGGGCAAGTCACCCACCTTTATGGGTTTTATTTCACCACCTGTGAAATGAATGGGTTGCCCTCCTAAACCAGTGATCCCCTGACCAGACCCACCCATGGTGACTTTCGTTTGGTTTTGCCTTGGGGTGTGTGTGTGTGTTGTGTGTGTGTGCTAATGATTTCATCATCAGTGAATCTCAGGTACAAACCACCACTACATCTTCTGAAAATCAGAGGTACTGGCAATCTTAGGCCATACCCCCTACAGCAGTGTGGCTTAACCTGCTGCACCACAGCACCTGGCCCTGGAACTCCCCTTCTAAGTTCAGTGCCAAGCAGAATCCAGAGCCAACCCAAGTGGTCACTAAACACAATGATGAACACCCCTGCTTTTGCAGTGTTGACTACAGTGAAAGTGTTCTGTGGAAGGAACCAGGCAAATCCAGGGCTCTGAGCATCAGCCCCTCAGACTCAAGATGGCTGGGGACAAGTTCTGAGATTCCAAACCAAAGATAGACTCCTGGAGAGCAAAGGTGGGGTGGCTGACTGCTGTCCCTGCACTCACCGGGTTATTTCACAACCCTCTGGGACAAAGATGTCTTTCCCAGGTAAGCCCCATTCCCCACATTTCCTTCTTCTCCCTCAAAACCTCCTGTCCTCTCTCTGTGCTGTGGGTCAATAATCAAGATGCGTGAAGGCTCCCATCAAAGAGATACACATACGTAAAGATCAATCAGCCGCCCCTTTCCCCTTCTGCCCCCCAGACTGCTATCTCAAATGGAACTCCTGACCCTGTATGCCTTTGCCGATTAAGAGAAAGATTGATTCCATAGCAGCGACCCGTGACCTTGACAATGTCAAGCAGTTGAATACACCATTAGGTGCCAGGCCTGGCTATTGGGTTCATTTGCAGTCACTGCCGGTTCTGTTTTCTCTGAACAATCTGGCTGTTGGTTAGAGCCGAGGAGGTGGTTGTCCATGCAGCAAGCTGGTAAAGGAGCCTTTCAATTTCATTTTAATAGGAAAATAAAACCAGTTACTGTATCAGCAAAAGCTTTTCAGAAAAACCAGGTCACGCTATGGTCCACGGCTCTTTTATTAGGATTGGAATCGTGTCACTAGATACCCATGTAATAAAATGCTGCCTTGTGGGCTAGGGAAACGGGCAGGAGAGTTGCGTTT